AAAGCGATGCGAAATTCGACCATCGACAACACATCTCACTAGAGAATGCATATCGATAAAGTTTAGACTGCTTCACCTGCAGATCCAACTTTATCGATATGCACGAGCATCCGATGGACACTCCTTGAGCTAAAGCGTCCATCGGATGCTCATCATTTTGAACAAAGGCTATCCATCGGACAACCGATCAAGAGTGTCCGATGGATAGTGGTTTCCTAGCCATCCTCAGGATGGTTTCCACTGCCTGGTATCATTTGGACGCTTTCTGAGGCGTCCAAATGATGCCAGGCCCGCCCGAGCGTCCGTTGGATGCTTCGCAACCAAGTCGCGGGCTCTCGGGACGGAAACCATCCGTTTGCTGGGGGGGTTTTCTAAAAACCCGCCCCATGGTGTAGTTGAGTTGAGAACACACCGATGTACATAAAACACAAAGTTAAGTGGTATTGATGATAGATTGACGGATTTTTTTTTCTTCGAACCGAAGCTTATCGAACTTCCATCCAACTTAATGGTTCGTATGTATTTCATTATCCTCTCATCTCATCCGAAAAATCCGCGCCGGCGTGTTTTCTTTTTCTTCTCTTCGACTTCCACTTTTGACTCGATTTCATTCCTCGGCGATGATGCAAAACAAATCGAAACAAAAGGTGCGCAAGATTGGTGCTGGGATACAAATCCCGTTGATTGTCACGCTTTGGGGATTGATCACTTGTTTACAAGGTCTAGTGACCAGGTGAGCACGAGTATACTATTCACCTTTTGTTCTAGAAAAATAACCCCACTAATCTGTATGCTTGATACCTTGAACAATTTCTCTTCGACAATCAGCTATCAGGGACTTCTTGCAACTAGGTCAGTCTCCCATGGCAATTATTCAACTCGTCTTTGTCGTATGCCTATCAGCAAAAAAAAACACGACATGGAAAGAGGAGGCGAATAATGATGATTTTAAAAACCTGATCTGTTTTGTCACATCACTTTCAGGTTCTTTTTGGGCTTGGTGGAGGGTAAGCACATCCAATCTTCCCAAAAAAAACAACACATGAAATTGTATTCTGATAGCTATTCTGCACTTTGACAGGTGCACTAGGTCCGGCCACTGTCCTCTACATGTCGACGTTTTACACCAGGTCCGTAGCTCCTGCGGTCCGTTATTGATCAAGTCATATATTTCTTCTTTTTTTTTTTTGACTAGAAAAAGTCAAATTCTCTGAAACCACAGGACCGAGTTGCAATTTCGGATCGCCTTGTTCCTGAGTACGATTTGCATAGCAGCCGCGGTGTCCGGATTGCTGACATATGAGATCATCAAGCTGGATGGTCGGTGGGGACATCCCGGCTGGGCTTGGGTCTTTCTGGCGAGTGTCTTCTTCAGCACAAAAATTCTTGCTCCAGTGTGACCTCCGCATCCATTTTAACCAATTGGATCTCTTTCAAACCGTTTTTTTTTACAGATCGAGGGGTTTGTCACCTGTATATGTGGTCTAACTGGCTTTTTCATTCTGCCATCAAGCATTGAGAAAGCCAAGCTGCTAACAGATTGCGAGAAAAAGTGAGGATTTATTTCTCCTTCTATTTTGATTCTTTGAACCCCAGCGGACCTCTGATTGTGAGGGGCCATATTAATTTTGATCTTTTTCTTCGCGACTGAACTACAATATAGCTTCCTTATCTCGAGACTTCAAGTGGCCTGGAAAGCTGCTCCCAGTTTAACTTCCCCAACCACTCCCATCCAAAAGTATCCCGGCAAGTCGACAAAGGCCCAAATCTGTGACGCTTTCAAAAGCCCCCATGTGATCCTTATGAGTATAGCACAATTTGCATCTACATCTAACATCTACAGTGTTGCTTACTTTACACCGACCGGTTAGCATATTTTGTTCTTGCTCTTGTCGCTATTTATTCGTACTTGCTAACCCCCTCTCCCCTCTCCTCTTGAAAATCGTTCGGATCCTTTCAGTGGTCACTACGGTCAGTTAGTTTTGAATCAAATAGTTGGCTTGAGCTGATCTTGATGCTGACTTAATGTGGCATGTCATTAACAGTTCGGCTACACACCCACGGCCACTCAACTGTTCTCAAGTATTCAACCTCTCTAAATTTCTGCGCACCTGGTATAGTCTAGACTAATGATTCTCAATCTCATCATCATTGAAAAAAAACCCAGTCCCGCCCTTTATTGTCGCTTTCTTCTACATACTAGGACTATCATACTGGTCAGATCGATACCAATCTCGGAGCCTTGCAGCGGGCTTTAGCGCAACACTTGCGATCATCGGTTTCGCCATCTTTTACGGTTCAAACTCCGACAAGCTGCGGTATGCTTCCCTGTTTCTGTCGATACCTGGGGTGTATGGCGTGATGCCAAGTCTGGCGGCTTGGACGGCGGATAACAGCGAGCCTCATGTGCGCAAAGCGGCCGCCCTCGCCTGCGGGGGAATGGTGGCAAACATTGGTGGATTGTTTAGTATCTGGGTAGGCCTGCTTCTTCTCTCTTGGACCGTGATTGCGTTGTCTAACCGCACAGTCCTTCTCACTTGCTTTGACTTTCTGGTGGAGCATAGATTTTCACTCTAGGCTTACCGCCAAGATACGCCCTCCCGACTACAATCAATATATTCCTGTAAGTCGAATGCAGATAAAAGGCATCATCAACGACCTTTGAAAAACAATCGAATGTGTTGAAAGTCACCTGATGCCCCTTAACCATGTTGGACTTGAAATAGCGCGGCGTTGATTGTAGTTTGCTGTATCGTCAACGTCATGTGGCTCAGGTATGCGGAGAGAAACAAAGTGACGAAAAGAGACGAAATCCTTCACAAGTTTACTCTGGTCGATTCGGATGAGATTTGCGATCCCGAAAAGGACAAGATGTCGAAGGACCCAAGTGACCAGGTGCTAATATCTGCCCAAGCGTGGGACCATCTTGGTGATAAACACCCAGATTACAAATACACATATTGATTTGATTTTACGATGGATGTGTTGTAACATAGCTTTTTTTTTCCCTGCTCCTTGAAGAAACACTGCTGTTGTATTAATCTTGTCATTCGGCTTTTGTAAATACCTTTCCTGATCATTTCGATTCGTTCTTCTCACTTTGTGAACCACCATGCAGTTAGAATATCCACCAGAATATCTTTGGTCTTGGTCTTGCTAACCTGTCCTGTTTTTCCTCCTCACTCGAATCATTATTTTTTATCTATTCCTATGCAGTCCTGTCTACATACCTGTCTTGTTCCACCATTTTTCTCTCTAGTTATTTGTTCTTGATATGTTCCTGTTCAGTGTCCTTTCAATCACCATCAACCGCAAAATCAATTCCTTGGCTTGCTCAGAAACATTGCACCACATGTAACCAATCTTCATTCAAGAAAACATCACTTCCAAAAATTATTCTCTGGTTCATGCTACTCATGAGAGGCTTGATTGTGCCAGTGATTGATGGGATCCTGAAGCTTGAAAGATCCATGGATAGACCCGTTTCTTACAACGGAAAAAAAAGCAGATTCACTGTTATCAGAAGTCTCACTATTATGCAGTGTAATCTTGATATTACAGTAGCATGACTTTCCATCTTTTCTCTCTCCTACGGCTCTAATCCAAGGTTTGTCCTTGATGTGCGTCCTGGAAGCCGTCAAGAACATTCAAGAGATGCTGAGCGGTAGTATGCCACATCTCTTTCCACTCAGCGAGCCAAGCCTTGAAGTCGCTTTCGAGAGAAGGCCGATCGAATCCGAGAGGCAAAGGTACTAAGCAGGACCTCAGAAGCACCGAAAGCAAGTCGAACGTGATCGAGAGACCCTCGATTCGGTCGCGCATCTCAGCTCGCCCACCATCCAGTAAGTCGCTCTCATAACTTCTCGACAAGGTTCCCACGTGTCGTTCGAAACAGAATACGATTGAATCAGCCGGCTCGTGTAATCTGGATAGGGTCTCGGAATTGATCGCGTTATTGAGAGTGAACAGTAGTTTTTTGGGCTTGGTTTTCGATATCTTGGTTAAGAACATTTTGGATAATTTGATGAGCAGCATAGTCCATTTGGACAGTTCAAGGACATGTTCTCTGAGAGGGGCGGGGTTGTCTGAGTGGCTAATCGTGGGTTGTTGAGCCAAGGTATTCAAGGTTTCTAGTGAGGAATTGAGTGACTCGGCTTTCTCTTTCCCATTCGTCTTGGATCACTTCAAAGTCAGATGCTTGGGACCATCTTCTGATCTTACCGGCCAAATCGATACACTGAGTCGATGCGACGAGCACGTCTCTTTCGAATAGGGATGATAGCTTTTGACGCCTAGACTCTTCTGGTTTATTCAAGTGATTGATAAACAGATCGCAGTTGATGAACATATCACGGATATCCGTGATGAGAGTCGAGGTGTTGGAACGCAGGTGAGTGCATCTGAAGTCTTTTCCCCGTTTGAAGTGATGATCATGGGTATTGAAGGGCACTACGTCGAGAGCAGCGGACTCGATACACTCTATGGTTTCATCCATGGTCTGGTCAAGCTGTGCCAAGATTTCACATGCGGCCTCGAAGTCAGGGTTCGGGTATTTCTTGGGCTCGTTGTATGGCAGGTCGAGTGAAATTAAGAATTTGCGGAGTTGATCTTGCAGTGATGGTAAGAGGCTCGAATGCAGTTGATCCAATAATTCGTACTTTCTGTCCAGCTCGTCCTGTGTCAGCTCTTCCCTCTCTTCGCCGGTTGATCCGTTCATGGATTCGTCATGTTTTTCGATCAGATCGTTCAGTACCTGGAGGACCGAAGCTGTTGCAAGATGAGAAGAAGCTTTTCATCAGTTGATTTTCGTTTCCCGCCGGATGGATGGACTGACCAGTTCGTGGGTTTGAGCTTGTGTGCGTATCGGCCATCGCAAGCGTCTTTCACCTTTCTATTCTGGTCGTAACAATGGTGTCGGTATGGTCAACGCTCCATGGGTGTGGGGTGGTACCTATAAGCATTCAAAATATTCAGAACGTCGAAGAGAATAACCCAGGGGATCAGCCCGAGCAAAGCCCGGTCGGGCAGGGCGCATCCGTAGAGACAAGAATAGGAAGTGAGGACGGGCCTGGCCCACTCCTGGGTCCTGCGGCCCGCGGGACCATTTACCCCCCACGGGGTGTATGTGCGGCACCGGAGTTTAGGTTAAGCTAGGCCAAGGCTAATCTTCTCCGACCCCGATCTCTCGCGCATACATAGAAGCAAGATTTTCATTATCATTTCACCGCTCCCACATCCTTTATCATGTCTGCCAACCTCCTTCGTCCGGTCTTTCGTTCCTGTCGAGTCTCCATCCCTGCTTATTCGCTAAACAGTCTGTCTCGGGTCTCATCCACTGGATTCAAGAGATTCGTCTCGAGTAAGTAAATATCTTCATCTTACCGTTTACATATATAGGAAACCCTGGCTGATAGATGCAATTCGATCGGACAGCTAAACGTTACACCAAGGAGCATGAATGGGTCTCGCTCGACCCTAAGACCAACGTCGGAACGATCGGCATCACAGATTACGCTCAAAACAGTCTCGGAGATGTCGTCTTCGTTGAACTCCCCGAAGTCTCGGCCACCGTTTCATCCGGCGGTCAGTTAAACAAGCACCTACTCGCAGTACCTTATAGAGTTTCCAGGATAATTTACTAATCATGCAAATCGTTGGATTTAACTATTCCCCTACCTTGGAATCTTAACTCAAATCCATTACAGACCTCATCGGAGCCGTAGAGAGTGTCAAAGCGGCATCAGACATCTTTGCTCCCGTTTCGGGTACGGTGACCGAGGTTAACACCAAGTTAGCCGATCAGGCTGGCCTGCTAAATAAAAGCCCAGAAGATGAAGGTAAGACGGGTCGTCTGGCTGAATGCTCAGCTCATCTCACTCAGAACGACGTCCATTAACTGATCGCTATCAAACTCGTGTACACATTCAGGTTGGTTGGCCAAAATTCAACTCTCCTCTCCTCAAGAGCTGGACAACCTTCTGAGCGAAGAATCTTACAAGGCTCACATCGAAGGAGAGCATTAACGAAGCATCTGGCATCCGTCAGTCTAGCAGGCAGTGAAAACAGGAATGTAACCACGAGCATTGGAGATTGTTCATATATGAAATCAGTGCCCCTCATCTTGACACGAATCATTTTTTTTTTCGCTCCTACTATCATGAAAGAACTTACGCACTGCTCAAACTGCAACTTTAGAGGTGTCATTTCTTATTCTCAAGTGACGTACTACAAAAAAAGATTACATACATATTTGCAAACTGTTGGTTTGCGTCGGCGGCGGCGCTGTCTCTGAGTCTGAAGGGACCACCTGACTGCGCCCCGCCGAGCTTTCCGGTCGGAATGAGCTGCTCCAGAGTGAGCACTGCCGCTGCTCCGGTGCATGTTGTTGAGCCTCGAAGACCGAGCCTGATCCTGGCTTTAGTTCTGTAGTGTCATTCTGCTTGGGCTACATAGCCTGGACTTCGACGCAGGTCAAGCAGGCTGTGCTGCTGACTACTCCTTATCATGACAAGCACTGGAGTCCGGATTGCGCCTACAGAGCCGATAGAGTGCCGTTATCAGCCAAACTCCCAAGGAGGTGTCTCAGTCTGAAGGGTATAAATCAAGCACCAGAACCGCATCCGATTACCCATTCCCAATCACCCAGCTCCATCCTTGCCGCAAAGCAGCATTCCAGAGCCATATATCAACCATAACTTATCAAAGCCTTCAGAAAAAAGAAAATGCAGTTCATCGCAGTCCTTTCAGTATGTCTGGCTCTTTCGGGCAGCTCGATTGCTCGTCCATCGCCCATCTACGACAGCTCATTTGACCCAGTTCCGTCATTCAGCTACGCCCCTCCCTCGATCTCCAGTTCATTCGAATCCAGTCACCAAGATTCACACTCCAGTGGCTCAACGACAACAATCACCCCGTCGGGGACCGAACAAACCGCATACGACTCTGCTCGCACCGCCGACCAAAGCCATTCTACCATCAGCTACGCAAAGGATGCTAGGCCGGACCCCGCATCCGTTGGATATTCGCAGCCTGAGCAGTAGAGCCGTCAGCCGTCGGTCATGGTGAGTTATCAATTGGAACCCTTGAGTCTTTTTGCCGGCTAATTTTATGTCGCTGCTTCTAGTGGTCGCCGAAACGGTAGGACTCTTTGACGCATGCAGGATTGGATTGTTGCTCGGCGCTTGATAGTTTCTCAATCTGCTCTCATGGCCTGGCTTTACTTTCCGTCCATCACCTCATACTTCCATACTTGTACACTTGCAGCATACTTTATATATTCGCTTCCTCGCGGACGGGACTCTTGATTGTTCTTCCCCCTTAACCGCATACATTTGTGTGATGGCTCATCTGTCCAACGGACCCTAATTTATGATAACTTACGTCTCGGGAGATCCCCAAACATTTTTAGTAGCCCGATGTTGGGCTCTCCACGTTGCCGGATTCGCCGTCTCATATTTCCCGCCGTGAGATGAATTTAGCGCGTTAGCCTGAGATCAGGTATTGATAAGACAGACCACACAAGGCTTGAAACAGAAGAAACTAGAGGATCAATGGCCTAAAGTAAAAGCGGGAAAATCATCTAGCAAAAGCAGACAATATGTAACAACATCTTGTTTCAAGCCTGGAGAAGAAAAGCTCTCCGAAATGAGGAAACGGTTACGGACAAAGTCGATATTGTATCAGGCATGGACAAAAGCAGCAGTGCCCAACGTTGATCGACTATACAGCCCGAAAAAGAGATGTTTGGAGGCTGACAAGTAGTCCGGGTAATTGGTCATACATGTCTCGCCGAACCTCAAGAAAGCCCTCTGGTCCTTTATCTCAGTAGGTTGCCGATGTCTTGATTGTCCCGTATTGCTCTTTTCGCAGCATTGACATCAAGAACAATCTCTTTAGTTTCTTTCTCACTTTTATCTTTGAGTCTTGTTTGTGCTATTGTCGCTCGTCTTCACTTGTAGTCGTTTGCAGCCTTCAGGTTGGGCTCTTTTCTTTTCATTTTTATATCTGAGTGTATTTCTCATTAATTTAAACTCATGAGAAACTTTGAATCCAACAGAGACGAGCGATGAGGATAGTCGATGTTACCAGGCCAACGGTGCTTGGTTTAACCCTGAGATGGCACATGAGATTCTAAAAAGATGTGTGGGCTCCAGTTGTCATCCTCCGGTATGCCATCACTACTACCAAGCTTTGACTAGGTTGCAGACCAAAGAGTTCATGAGACCAAGCGAATGAAGTGGCAATCTTGATAGATGTAAAACTTACAAATACGTATGCGACCATAGCAGAATCACCGCAAAGGTTAGCTGTAGATGGCCATCCACATCGGTTGAATATGTTGGGCGTGTTGTTGTCGGGTGGTGTGATCTGTGCCACTGATTCCTCCGTCAAAGAAATTTATGTGTTATTTGTGCTGATCAGTTTAGGTGGTCAGGAGTCCCACAGATTGGTTAAAAATTGCACTCACGAGACCAGTAGGTGAGCTTGTTTTCGGGGTGTGTGGCTACTGGGAAACCGCAAAATCCATAGGATTTGCCTGTAGGAGGGCACTGGAATTGCTTAGTCTTGTCGAACGCAGCTGCAAACCCGCAAGTCGCCCACAAAGCAATCACAAATGTATAGAAATGCATTGGCACTGAATGAGGGATTCTAATCACGACGCGATTGCTTCCGGAGCGTGACTGTGAATGGTGATAGTAGTAGTAGTAGTAGTAGTAGTAGTATGTGTGTATGGTATGGAGTGACAACAGGCGAAAAGAGGCAGGAAGTCAAGGCTGGTGTCAACGGTGGGCCAGCTAGGCTAACCGTAGCATAGTGTAGCGAAAAACCGCTACAATTTAGCGTAGCGTTAGCGCTTTTCTCATTTTCTGCGCTAACGCTACGCGCATGGGGAAAAAACTTGCGCTAGCGTTTAGCGTAGCGTTAGCGCGATTCCCCCCATCTGCGCTAACGCTACGCGCGCAGGGCGCAAAAAAAGCGGTTTTTAGGCGTTTTTTGCCGCTAAAAACGCTGTAGCGTAGCGTAACGCAGCGTAGCGGTGCCAGAGGCGCGCTAACACTACACCAAAAATTGGTGAGTGTTAGCGTAGCGCAGCGGCCGTAGCGGCGCGCTAACACTACGCGAAAAAAAATGGTGCCGCTACGCTAACGCTACATGGGCCCGTAGCGGCCCACCGCTGCTGGTGTGGGCATTGGAAATCTGGCAGTCAGCTTGATCTTTTAAGGCCGGCAAATTTGTTTTCTTTTCTCAAATGTTCTGGCTCTGGCGTTGAAGGCTATGCAACCCGGCTCATGTATACTCTGGCTGAACTTTGAGGCCGCTTTCCAAGAGAATGGTACTTACAGCCATTTCGAGAAACGTTGCGGTTCGCGAGCCGGGGGTTTTTTTTTTTTTTTTTTTTACTTTTTTAGAGGCTGATACAGCTCTGTATAGTGGCTGTATATCTTCTAATTGTTCCTTCACAGAAGAAAACGAAGGATTGGAAGATTTCTCAAGCGATATACAGGGCTGTATCGGTCTTCTATAAATAAAAAAAATAAAAAAAAATAAAAAAAATAAAAAGCTCAGCTTGCAAACCGCAACCTTTTCTCGAAATGGCTGTATTAGCCTTGTCGTGTGGCCGAATGTAGAAACAAAAAGGTCTCCCAAATGCATAATGGAAGT